TGCATTTGATCATAAGAAGGATAGAATACAACCCTTGATATTCTTCCAATCGCTGTCTGGGACGACTGAACGTTACGCTACGCAGTTCGCGCAAGTCCTGACCGAATGGACAAGGTACGTTTTGGGCATGCACGACATATTTGAGGCGTCGACTGACTTCCTGCTTCACGTTGCAGGGGATGCGATCAATCCAAGTCCTTCCTAGAGCCCCAGACGCTCGATATATCCTACATCGAACACGACGACTACTTCATTAGCCCACCGAAAACCGACGCGAACGTCAAGCACTTCTACATCATCCTCGTACCCACGTACAACATTGACACCGTCTTGGACGTCTTTGTAGAGAGCTTGCAAGAGACGCACAACGACTTCAGGATCGATACGGCGCCGTTGAGCGCTTTGCTGGGATACGCCGTGTTTGGTTTCGGCGATAAAGAAGGATGGCCGACAGAAGAAGAGGGCTTCTGCAGCCAATCGCGAGAGGTGGACAAGTGGATGGCCAGGCTGACTGGTAGGAAGAGAGCATACCCACTTGGTATGGCCGACGTCAAGAGCGATGCTGAGCAGATGCTACAAGATTGGAGGATAGGCGTTCAGGACGCGCTTGTGGAGATCTCCGAAGGACGAGGACTCGGTGACGGTGTCCCGGGTAGCGGAGATCCCATTGAGAGCGACGAAGAGGATCTAGATGATGGGAACGACCAAAATACACGCGTAGACGACGTCGAGGACCTAGGCTCGATGGTGAATGCTCCAATACCGGTCGACTTTACCACCTACAAAAACTCCGCAACCGCCCCTGGACCCGTCAAGGCCCCCGCATCCCGTCAGGCTCCTAAGGAGATGGTTCCAACCACCTCTCCTACGTATGCCGCTCTTACCAAGCAAGGTTACAGCATAATTGGCTCTCATTCGGGGGTCAAGATCTGCCGATGGACTAAATCTGCTCTGCGTGGCCGAGGCTCCTGCTACAAGTATTCCTTCTACGGTATCGCCTCTCACTTATGCATGGAAGCCACGCCTTCTCTCTCATGCTCCAACAAATGCGTCTTTTGCTGGCGACACGGCACCAATCCGGTCGGTACCACGTGGCGCTGGATAACCGATGCTCCGGATCTGATATTCGACGGCATAACAGCAGCACATTACAAGAAGATAAAGATGATGAAGGGGGTCCCCGGTGTCCGAGCCGAGCGTTTCAGCGAGGCCATGCGCATTCGTCACTGCGCCCTGAGTCTGGTCGGCGAACCAATTTTCTACCCACACATCAACGAGCTTCTCGGTATGATGCACCAGAATCGTATCTCCACATTCCTTGTCTGTAACGCTCAGCATCCAGCTCAACTAGCTTCTTTGATCCCGGTAACCCAACTCTACGTTTCCATCGACGCATCAAACAAAGACAGTCTTCGCAAGATTGATCGACCTCTTCACCGGGATTTCTGGGAGCGCTTCTGTGCTTGTCTCGATATCCTTCGTAACCGCCGATTCGAGCAACGCACTGTCTTCCGTCTTACGCTTGTTAAAGGCTTCAACATGGCCGAGGAGGTGCGTGGCTACGCTGACCTCGTCGAACGTGCATTGCCTGGCTTCGTCGAAGTCAAAGGCGTCACATACTGCGGTACCTCAGCTGCAGGGTCTGCAGGCCTCACTATGCAGAACGTCCCCTTCTACGAAGAAGTTGCCGAATTCGTGACGGAGCTTGAAAAGGAGTTGAACAATCGCGGCTTAACCTATGGCATCGGCGCCGAACATGCGCATTCCTGCTGTATTCTACTAGCCGACCGCACGAGGTTCAAGAAGAATGGCAAGTGGGCGACAAGAATAGATTTCGAGCGCTTCTTTGATCTCTATGAGGGCAAGGTACAAGGGACGAGAATGGAGGAAGGGCAAGTAGTAGGCTGGAGACCAGAAGACTATGTTGGCGACGAGACGCCAGAGTGGGCGCTCTGGGGAAATGGGGGATTCGATCCTAGAGATGCACGAGTGTATAGGAAGGGTAAAGGGCCCAGGGGCGACGATGCCAAGCAGAGCGCGATGGAAGGGCAGGCCACTGCGGCTGCGTTGGAATTCTGATTCTCGTCACGAGAACAAACATAAATTCAATCAGATGTGTTGAACAAAGGCTCATCATTGTTCTTCTATCTATGCATTGTATTCATCAAGTCGTAACATCCATGTATGCAGTCGTAGTGACGCAGCCCTCATATAGCCGCCCACTCAACAGAGAACGCCCTCACGGGCTCATTCTCTTGGGCATCTACCTCGGGGTTCTCACCACCGATCATGTAGGCCTTCTTTGTTCCAGTGCCGAGGCGTCCTCCACCAACAACATCCAGCAAGTCAAACTTCTGGTCCCAGCCCAAGCCAGTGGCGGCGAAGTGACTGTGGTACCGAAGAGGGTCGCCTGGGTACACGTTGTAGTGGCATCCGAAGCGTAGACCGGGCATGTGGTAGTAGCCCTTGGAGTGTAGGTAGCGGAATAGCGGGTAGCTGTCCGGTACCGCTGGTGGAGGGACGGAAGGGTCCTTGGCAGGTGTCGGTAGAGGAGGGTATGAAGTGGTTGGTGTGACGAAGTGCTTCTGGGCCGCAACGCCTTTCGGCGCGCTGGCCTGGACAGGAACAGCTGGTTCAGGGGCAGGCGAAGGGGGTGCGGCATCGAAGAGCGAGACCTCTTCGACTGAGGAGTCCACCTTGGGCGCCTTGATTTGTACCCAGGAGTCTGAGAAACTAGAGCCTTTCATGATGAAGCCTAGACCAGAGCTACCGAGATCCGAGCTATCAGTGACTGAGCTAGCGGGGCTGGAGGTGACTGTGGTCTTGGTTGGCTTCGCTGGCGCCGAAGAGTCTGCGAAGCTCGATCCTTTCATGATGAATCCAAGACCCGAGCTCGCGAGACTGTCGTCATCTCCTTGCAGAGTATCGTCCGAAGCAGTGCTAGCAGCAACACCACTCTTCTCGACCTCCTCCCTCTTAAGCCCCTTCGCCTCCAACGCCCTCTCTTTCCGCCTCTCCGCCAGCTCAGTCTGTTCCTTCGTAACCTCCTCCCCCCTCTTATCCATCTCCTCCATATACCTCAGTCTGTCCTCACGGCTCATCTCCGCAAAAGCCTTCTGATGTGCCTGCGCATCATCCACGAGATACGCAGCGCCTTTATCGACGAGTACCCGAGCCTCTTCCGGCATGAGTTCAAGTGGTATGCCCAGAAAAACGTTCTGCTGGCTGAGGTTCGGTATCGTGCCGACGAGGAGACCGCAGATGTTGTGCGTGCGACGGCAGTGCGCAATAACGTCCACATCAAAGAGGAGGTAGCGGCCGGCGACGTGGGATATGGGGAAGGGTTCTTGGATCTGTTTGGGGGCTGGGGCAGCCGCCATGGTATGTCTAGAGCAGAAACTTTGTTAGCTTCTTGACGTCTCGATTGGGAAAGAGCGGTGAAGGGCAGATGTCACGTGAAAAAAATCACGTGTTTCAGTGCGTGAATACGTTGAACCTCATGGCCACCGTTCGATGTTACATCGTCGGCAGCGCTCAGGGGATTGACAGATGTATGGTTGTAATCATTAAAAGGATGTGGATTTAGGGTTAGAGAAGAAGGGGTCTTACAACTCACATCGCGGCGGTGGTTGCGCCGGGGGGGACTGGGTGTCGAGAACGGGAGCTGAGGACGAGAGACGAGGAGCTCAGGACTGCAGCTTTAAGAAACTTTTTAGCTTGAGCCCTACCCACTTTTACCCGCGCTGGTGGCTGCGAAACGCTGGATCCATGGGACATGAATGGCCGGTGAAGGCTCTAGACCGCTCATTGCCTAGCGCTGCCAGATCCCTTGGCGCGTCCCGAAGTTGACCCGGCATTATGAAATGGCTCCCGTGTCCCGCCCATAGCACACTGGCAGATACAAATGTGCGTGCTAAAGAATGCCTCTTGATTCAATCCCGCGATGGCGTCAATAGGAGCATAGCTGCTGTCTACGGTACCTAAACTTCGAATTCGAATGACGCGTAGCAGACGTAGAATGTAGGCGCTGTGGGAAAAGGTAGATTTGACGATCGAGCCGCGAAAGTACATTGTAAGCGCGATGGTTTCGAAGGCGAGGAAAGAGAATGAAGCGCAGGATATCGCACGGTGGTGGTGGTGGTGATATGGTGAGGGATGTATATGGTCACATCCACGGGTGCTTGCATCTTCCCAACCACTTGTATGACAACGGTACGAACGTCATTGACTCGCAAAGTGAACAGTCATGGCAGAAAGCTTGTCCAATATCGCTATCCAATATTGCTGTCGCTTCATGAGTGATGCAGTAATTATTGTCGCTCTTTCCGCGCGGTCTCCGTTCGATCTAGCGCGCTTTCCTCACTTAGCACCTCAAGCTTCTTGTCCGCTTCTCTCACGTTTTTCACTCCAACACCAAACACACGCACCGCTATTTCTCGCACCACGCACTTCAAATCTACATCAAACTGCTAGAAATGGCATCAAACACTCACCTCGACAATGCGGCCACTGACCAGCTGAAAGGACTTTCAGCTCATGGCCAGCAGCGCGCCGTTCCCCCGTCATCCTCTCTCCCGCCTCGCCCGTCTCTCACGTCCCCTCCTCCTCTCCCCTTGACATCTCCTACCCCGTCTACATTCTCCAATCTCCTATCTCCACCATCTCTACCGTACTCTGCTCCTTCCTCCTGGCATCATGCCTCCTCTTCTTTGCTTCCGGTTCAATACTATCCTGCTAACCATGCAAGCAGTGTAGGCTCAACGCCATACGGCTCACGAGCCGTGGCCATGCAGCCTCCGATGCCAACGGGCTCAATGAGTTTTGCGCCCTCTCCCGCTGCGTTCGAGCAGTCATCATCATTATTTTCAACAAGCTCAATGGGCTTTGCACCCTCATCGTCCGCTACGGCCAAGCAGCCCTCAATGTCTTCATCATTCTCAACGGGCCTTGCATCCTCATCATTTGCCACGGCCAAGCAGCCATCATTTTTCGCAGCCCAGATGGCAGCCTTGCAGTCAGTGCAAATATGGACTCCGTCACAGATTGCCCCAACATCTACCTCTGCATCATCTGCCGCTCAAGGCTTCAATGCTACTTCGTCTTCAGACGTACAGTTCACAAATCCTTTCAGGAGCAAAGCGCAATCTCCTGCGCCAGCGACCAAGAAGCCCATGCAGCAAGAGCATATCACAGCACCTGAGGAAGATCCTCTCGATGCTTTATCCAGCGAGCCATTGGATTCCAGCCAGTTTCAATCCGAAGTAGGTGGTATCATTGAAAATCCCACTATCAGTGTGACGCGACCGCTATGTGTAGCAGATACGGATCCGCGGAAAACCATCTTCATTGTACAGGTACGAGCAAGCTCGGGTGCTACTGCCAACGTAGCTCGTCGTCTATTCAAGAGACCAGCAGAGATCTGGGAGGCCTATATCCGAGCCTATCCGCTTCCTGAAGGGACAGAAGCTGTTAGGTATCGCCAGAAAGACACCGAGAGGCTTGAACTGCATGCGTATGGCTACATTTTCTCCCATCAATGGGGCCACAAGGCCAGTGCAGAGCTATTGATCCGCGACAGCGACGATACCCTCGCCCGCGAAATTCTCGACCTCACTGACGAGCAACCGCTACACGTAGTGGTCATTGGGACAGGTATCGACGGCCTCTCTGTCAACAACACGTCGTGGGAAAATATGCACAAGCGATGGCCCAAAGCCACTTTCGAGCTGTGTCTCATGGTTCCAAACAACTCCCAGTATCTGACCAAGTTCCCACAGATAGTCTCAGTGTACGACGACTACTTTACAACAATAAGGGTGCAGACTTCTGATCTGGCTAGCGCATTCGAAATGTCACACTTTGATGAAGTCAGGGCCGCAAATGCGTCAACTCCAAGGAATAAAGTGATCATGCTGCTTTTTCTGCTTACCGAGTTCGTAAGCACAGAAAAGTCGAACTGGACTCGCACGAGACACGCGGCGCTCCACAGAGATCTGGAGATTGCGACCCTCGCTAAGACCCTGGGCTTACGCAAGGTATCAAGGAATCTCGGTTTCCAGTTGAACGGTGGCTCTTCTCGGTCTGATGATGCCGGCGAACCTCAAAAGAAGAAACGCAAGACGAACGTCACTCCTTCGGTCTCGGTTAGTATCGATGATTCCGACACCGATTACAACGATGATTCCGGCGAGGATTCTGATTACAATGAACCACCGATCAAGCCTACACGTGTCATGCGCTCTGATCAACAACGCGGGTCACACAAGACAACATAGCGAAGGAATTGACGATACGAGAGAAAGAAGTGACAGCCATAATAGAAATTCAGACACCATACGCTGGCTGAGTATCATACTCTGTGAGTGCCATACCCAAGAGACGTTATGCGTCTCTGCGTTTCGCGGGTTCAGCTGGATTGATCCCTGGTTGCGACTACCTTACGGGAACGCACCTGGGATGATTCCAGGGGTGGGAGTGGCTGATGTAAAGTCGCGAACGTTTCTCATTGCTTGGTGTAGCTTGCTGCACGAGTGAGGAAGATCGTCGATTCTGGGCCATGTTTGGGTCACCTCATGATAGGGAGAGACTGAATATGTGCGCTGAGGTATACATTAGTATAGAATAGGAGGATAGAGAAGTATAGAGGTGATGTAGACTCCTAGGTCGTCTACTTTCTCTAGGTAGGTAGGTGTTGATATCATTGCTTGAGTGAGGTGAAGTTGAGTCTGAGAGCGGTCTGGCTCACCTAAGACTACTAGCGCGTCAGCTGACCCGGAGTTAAAGCATGACACGGCTCCCGCGTCCCAAGTCCCGCGCGCAGAGCATCAACACGAAAGAACACGGAAATATGGCACCGCCATACTTCCCCGCGTCGACCAACGGCCAGGATAGCGCGCCGCCAAAAACATACTACGAACAACAGCGCGAAATGCTCGTCACTGAAATTGCCCAAGTACGTGCACCCACCCAATCCACCACGGAGCGCATCGCAGCCCTTTAAGTCCCAGCTTCTACACCGGTCTATACTAACCAACAGCCAGAGTCTAGAAGTCGTCCTACAAAACATCAACAAGCTGAACCGTTCGCTCGAAGAAGTCACATCTGTCGGCAACGAGTTCGCACCCGTCGAGTCGCTATGGAGTCACTTTGAGAACGTCATGGCCAAGGACCCGAGTGAGCAACAAGAAGGGCCACAGGAGGGCGCAACGGAACATGAAGGCGAGACGGAAGTGCCTCAGGAAAGGAAATGAGCGGTGGCAGGGAGGCAACCTTGTTAGCTTGCGATAAAGAACAACGCGCCCGAAGGTGCACGGCCAGCCGTCGAACAGACCATGGCGATAATGGTTATGATGCAATGATACCCCGGAGCGAGTCATTGGCACAGTGCGCGACACCAGGGGATCGCAGACTTCACGTTATACTTTACCTTTACACAGAAGATACACCGTGTGTATGATACTTGAGACTAAGGTGTGCACCATTTCACGTGCCATGTACATTTGGGCGCAAGCATGTATGGAGGCGGTCAGCGACACGAGTTCTGTCACCGGCTAGCGACGATCGATTTGGAGAAAAACAGGTTTCAGAAATATGTTTGATTTACTTCCCCGGCGCAGGCAAATTTGATCGCCCACTGGCGCCATGCATACATACAGAATACCGAATACAGATACAGGGAAAGAAAATGCTGCTACTGTGGACTATGGAATCGCTGCGTCCATTCTCATGCCAAAAAGGAAACCCAAACGCCAGGCGGCCATGTACATGTAAAGACTTCCCTAGGATTAAGAGGAAGCGAACATGCCCGGACAAGTGGTGGAGGTGAGCCGTATGTCATTAAACATCTTGATCGTGTCGTCCAGCGTCGTGAATCTCGATATGCTCTCCTCTCGATAGACACAAACAAACTATAGGACCTTGCAGCCGCTGCGCTTCTTCTTCTTACCGCCCCCAGCTGGGAACGACGACGTGTTCCCTCTTGACGAGGTCGCTGTGCCGACACGGCGCTCTTCTTGCTCCTTGTGCTCCTCGCCGACGGCCATTGTGACGGCCATGTCGAAGATCTCCTCTACACCGTCTTGCTCTTTACTACTGCACTCCATGTAGGCAGCGCCCATTTTCTTTGCGACCGCACGACCTTGCTCCGATGTGACGGGCGTCAGGCCTTGTGTCTTGAGTAGCTCGATGCAGTTCTTCTTGTTGCGCAAGTCGGACTTGAGGCCCAACAGCATGAGGGGCGTTGTTGGGCAGAAGTGGAGAACTTCAGGGTACCACTGGAAATTGTCAGCCAATGCAAGGCTTACATGTATCGAAGTATCTTACCTTGTCCATGACGTTTTCTAGTGAGTTGGGGCAGTCAATTGCGAAGCAAACGAAAATGACATCTGTCTCTGGGTAGGAGAGCGGTCGCAACCTGTCGTACTCCTCCTGTCCAGCGGTATCCCACAGCGCAAGTTCGACCATCTTGCCTGTGGGAGGATGAGGAGTGTGAGTGATGTAGTTCTCAAAGACTGTTGGTACATATTTCTGCAGTCGCATTAGAATCACATGACATGTCTTTTCAGCTGGTGGTGCGTACCTCTGGGAAGTTGCCGGAGCTGTAGCTGATCAACAAACATGTCTTTCCGCATCCACCGTCACCGACAACAACGAGCTTCTTGGAGTAGGCTGGAGGTTCGGTGATGGCTGTGTCGCGCGTGTTGGTGGTTCCATATGAGCTAACGGTGCCATTGCTGTTGCGCTCGCTCGGTGTGCGGGCGTGGCTGCGGACTGGTGTGATTGATGAAACGGCCGCCTTTGTGCTCTGCTTGCGCCGGAGATAGTCGTAGTTCTGGGAAGGTGCGGTGGCCATGTTTGGAAGTGTGCGGGATGTGTGGTCGTGTCCTGTTTCAGACGAGGTTATCAATACGGAGAAGGAAGATGGTGTTGGAGTTGGTGTGGGGAGCGAGTGGTCGAGGCTTAAGAGAGGTGGATGTTGACTGTTAGAGGGCTCGGTCGCATATGGCAACCACGCTACGTCTCCAGCGGCTCGCTAAACTAGCGCCAAGTCGCAACGTGCCTGTCCATGTCTATCGATCGATGGCATGCATCCAAGCCCACAGCCTCGTCTTACTCCACGACGCTATCGCTGCCGCTGGACATGCGCGTTCGATTAACTCGCCCACCCCCTTTCTGCGACCGCTACCATGAGTCCGCGACATGATGCGCCCAAAGACACCGCAGCGACCACGGAGCCCAAATTGGACGCGGGCAACAAGGGCCACGATCACTATGCCCAACGCCTGCCCAGATGGCGCAATGCCCTGCGCAACCGCCTCATACCCATTGTGCGCTGGGAGACGCCCTGGCTCGCCCTGATGCAGGACAAGATGCGCTCGCCCGCCCTCGACTCCTACTTCGCCTATACCGCCAACCTCGGCACACATACCTTCTTCATGGTGTTCCTGCCCATCCAGTTCTGGTGCGGCTACACTAGCATTGGCCGAGCGTATGTCAGAAGCTGTCTCTCACTATCGTGCGACGTCTGACGTACATAGAACTGTCTTCATGCTTGCAGCCGGTGTGTACGGAACGGGCTTCCTCAAGGACATGCTCTGCCTGCCCAGGCCCTTATCACCCCCACTTGCCCGTATATCCATGTCCGGGTCCGCTGCGCTCGAATACGGCTTCCCCTCGTCGCACTCTGCCAACGCGGTATCGGTCGCTTTCTATGCCATATACACGTTGCGCCAGTCAGCCGAGCAAGACAATTCAAACTGGAATGCGGGCTTACAGGCGCTGTTCTACTTCTACGCGCTCTCCATCATTGCGGGGCGCTTGTATTGCGGCATGCACGGGTTTCTGGATGTCCTTGTCGGAAGTATAATGGGTGCGTTGATCACGGCGTTCCAATTGGTCTGCGGGGACTGGATGGACTCGTTCGTCTTCAGTGGCAGTTACATGGACATCTTCATCGCAACTTTGGTCGTGTGCGTTCTGGTCCGCATCCATCCGGAGCCTGCCGACGACTGTCCATGCTACGACGATAGCGTATCCTTCTCCGGCGTAGTCATTGGGATCAATCTGGGTGCATGGCATTACGCTCAGACCGGCTATGCCTTGAAAGATGCATACCCCTCATCTGTCCCATTCGACCTGGAAGAAATGGGTCTGCTAAAGGCAACAATCCGCATTCTACTCGGTGTTGTAGTAATCTTCGTCTGGAGAGCCACCATGAAGCCTGCCTTGTTTACTATCCTGCCACCCATTTTCCGTCTTCTAGAGCAGGCCCGTTGGAACATGCCCCGCGCCTTTTTCCTCAACGCGTCCAAGTACAAGTCCATTAAGCCTTTCGCTGATGACGACAACGTCATTCCACCTGCATCAGAGCTGCCACATATGCTGAAGAACCTCGCCCACCCACGTAAGCGGTCTGTATCCGTTGGACCACAGTCTGCTGCCGATGCTTACGAGACGCTTGCTTACCGAAATCGCCGACGACGGGAAAGTGTCAACTCACTAGATGGTACGGTACCCGAAGACTCCGCTTGGATACCCGGCCCGGCAGTCCTTGATACACCCAACATCGAGAAGGGGGAACCACTACTGGGCGCAGGTCTGCTGCCTACACCGATGGCGTCTAGGGTACACTCGTACGAGCAGATGATGGGTACAGGTGAAGTGCATGTAAATGAGAAAAACACGTCTACTCCCCCAAGGAGCGATACAGACGTCGCTGGCGATGTCCACACGCTCACACAAAGCCCGACTGAGGAGGAGAACGAGAAGCGGGAGATCTTCATGAAACTTACCACACCGCGAGTGCGCTATGATGTTGAGGTCGTTACGAAGTTAATTGTGTACACGGGTATGTTATATGCTATCAACATCAGATCGACGGCTAATCATAATCAGGTATTGCGTATATCGCTGTCGCGGGTAACCCTATTCTGTTCGAGTTCTTAGGCCTGGGTATGGGCCATGAGTCGTAGTTGGTCCGGGCCACAACTATGTTACGTCTCTTTTGCTGTACATATGCCGACACGGCTGGGTGGTCTTGGTGAAACCGATGGACGGTCTCAAGGTTTCTTCTTTCTTTAGAAGTCGAGTCTAGCCATGGAATATGGGACAGTCGTTGCGCAATGCCAGGGAGAATCTCCCGGTAGCCTGGAGCTACCTAGTGGTGATTGAGGAATAATAGGCATTATTTCGCGGTATTCAGGGCGTATATACGCCCGGTGATTCGCTTCTATAGTAATCAGGCTACCCATCCGATCTCCCATGGAATGCTTTCGTACATGGATATGTCATGCTGTATTCATCGAGTTATACTCATGACATATCCATGTGCGAAATCATTCCATGGGAGATCGGATAGGTACGCCTTATACAAGAAAAAAGCTAGACAGGCTTGCAGACTACATTAACCTAAAACCTTGCAAAGTAGGTAACCTAACGTCAACGTAGGCTCTAAGCTGTTCAGTTTTTCCCTAGGTTGGCGTGGGATAATCATCAAATTTGGGGAATTATATCAGTGCTACCCACGGCAGCTTACATCATAGAGTCATAAATGCCTAATCAATCATGCATCGATCCTATGCTCCCTGAGTCCCGCATACGTGCCACCCTTGACAATCTCCTTCGTCTCGCCCATAGTGCCAAAGCAGCAATGTTCCACCTTGCCCAAAGGTCCCTCCCTAGGATCATCCTCAAGGAGTACACCAAAGCGCAACTTCGTCTTCGCCAGCTCCTTGGGAAAAGGATCTCCACCCAAACACGCCCCAACGCTTAAGTGATCCAGCGTAGGATTGCGGGTGGTAGCCATAATGCGAGAGAAGAGCACATCGGATGCTACCCCGTTCATGTGGAGCGACCACGCGCCGACCAGGATGAAAGCGAAAGTGATTGCGATAACAATTGCGTATCCGATCCAGAGAGAACGTTTGTAATACACGTATACCATCATGGTTCGTGACTTTGTACAAGGCACTTCTTGGGTCTGTACCACGACTAGATTTGCGTCGTTGAGTAGAGTGATGAGAATGTCTTCGAAAAGGTCTTGTATCTCTATTAAGCTGTTGGCACGAATAATAAGATGTCTTAGAACCGCGTTAGCAAAGCATAGCAAGGGAGCTACATACTAGTAATAAGTTAGCAAGATATCTTGAGAGCTGTTTGTGGCGGCTACTTTACCCTGTCTTCAGATCCACCAAGGGGTACGAGGTGCTGCTGTTGACTAATCGCGTCTCAGATAAATCTGAGTAGGTGATGAGGATTTTCTGCTTTTCGATTTTGCCACGCAGGAAGCGGCGTAGGAGTGAACCCAGAGTATGGAAGGAAGCTGTTACTTTGTATTCTTCGACATTTTTCTGGGGCTCGATAGGATGGTCGCCGATGACAGGACGTAGGAACTCTCGTTTCCAGCGGGTTGCGGACTGTCTGGGATTGTAGCTCATGTTGAATGTATATTTGGTGTACTGCATGACGCATTTGAATATTTTGGGCTCTGTAAATACGGACGTAACAAGTCAGTATATCAACCAAGAAAAACCCAAACAGGCTTGCAGCCTACATCAACATGAAAACCTACAAGATAGGTGACCTGGCGTTGATGTAGGCTCTAGACCTATTCAGGTTTTTTCTTGTATGAGGTGTATCTCTTACATGTGGTTCGCATAGCCAGAACTTACCATGTACGTTTCCCCATTTGGCCTTGTACTCCGGTTCCTCATCGTACGAGTACGGCTCGGAGGTATTGATGGCGTAACCGATCCAGAGGTTTGGTTCGTTCTCGAATACGCCTAAAGACCCTGTACCATTCACTGGATCCTGATACCCGTAATCACCTTGATCAACATCTGCATTGTAGACAAGGCTTCCGTTCGGCGCCAGTCCAGATAATGCGAATGGCGCGTTGGATTCATCAGTATCGTCGACATCCTCGCATTGGTAGCCGGGTCCCACGAAGCTTATTGTGTATGTGCAATTCCAGCCCGATCCGCAAAATACGGTAGAAGCGTTTTCGCGGGGCTGTGGCTTTTGCATGTACACGCTACTGAAGGCCAAACGGCGCGCGTTCTTGGACGGCTGATCGTAGTAGTCGAAGAAGTTTCCTCCACCCGTTGCCGCGGAGTATTCATCTCCATCTCGCCTTTCCTCTTCGGCTGGCTCAGTGGTGTTATAGAAATTCAAGCTCTTCTGCCAGAATTTACTCATGTCCCGGAAGTCGTACGTAGATTCCTGGGTGAAGTTTAGAGTAGCTACAGAGCAACTGGTAGTATTGTCGAACGTTCTTAGCTCAGATGTTAGTGAGGCAGGGGACATGACAGATGCAAGTGGTAGTAACTTGGATAGGTCAGAATAAATCTTGTGTCTTCTGTGAAAGATTTGTAGGCTTACCCAGGTACAGGCTGCCATGAGCGTAGCAAGCTTGCCATTTCTGATCATCTCCCAGTTGAGGAAGAACTGCGTCGGATCTTCCGTTGCAGAAAACAGACCATCAATACCATTGATCGTCATCGCCTTTCGTCGGAAGGTATACCATATGCGCTGACGGTTGCACATGATAACGGTCCCGACCAATGTGCTTTTCACAAAGAAAGCCAAGGCCGTACCATACCGCACCATCTTCAGTTGCTCGGTGGCCGGCTTCCCATTGAGATGCATGTAAAACAAGTGATGACCCACTGCCGCCGCAAACCCTGCCATGAACAATGCGACTATGAGAGCCGGTGTTGTCCAATAAATGTGCCATTGAACCAGTTCGCCAGATCTCCTGTCGACGAGAGCTTGGGTATCCGCATCCATGGTCTTCTTATGATAGAGCGAGTTTAGAGTATACGTAGACTCTCTCGCTGAGCGTATGGAGTGGCTGGAGATGTCGTGTTCTCCACGCACCGGCTCATACCGGCTGTCACCGTGTGGCAGGCCCAAGTAGGCTCCCGCCCGCAACCCACTCTTTATACCCTCATCGTGAGACTGACCCAAAGATCGTGCGGGAGAAATGTGCGGCTCCACACCATCCGATGATAGCCGTGAAAGATATGAGAGCTCGATGGGATCGGACGCTGTACGGAAGGGATCGTAGGGTTCAGGACGTGATTCCGGTGAAACATCCCGTGAGGAATAAGCCGACCGAATCCCTCGAGAAGCCATCGTTATCGCAATGCTGTGAGTCTAGGAGGGTACGATTTTGAGAGCATAGGATGATTGCGGCGCGGTCCTGGGGTCATTAGGAAAACACCATAGTGCTAGCGTTCAGTGGGGTGTTGCACATGCAATACTGTGGGCGTATGCAGCACGACAATAAGAGGAGGGCTTCCGGAAGGCTCAATGGATGCCGATGCTGTCGCATGCAACTATCTCAAGGACGATCGGGATGGAGAAAGCATCGTGCCCGGAACTGAGTCCCCACTTCTCCATCATCGCTCCCTCAGGTGTGGTCTATTCTGGGGAACCGAGATGAGGCGTAGGCGGCGCGGAATACAGGAAGGACTGGCTATTGGTAGACCATTGTCGCACTAAGCGCGACTGCAGGTGGCTGGCTGGAAGCTGGAGACACTTGGTAGCTGGCGAGGTAGACCCACCTCATACACAAAAAACCTGAACAGGCCTGCGGGCTACATCAAGACAAAAGCTTGCAACGTAGGTGACCTGACGGTAACGTAGGCTCCAGGGTGTTCTTTTTTATTAGGTTGACGTGGACCAACGATCAGATCGCGCGTGCGGAGGTGCTCGCTCTTACAAACTGTAAGTATGACAAAAGGAAGCTACGCAAGAGACGTCTACCGCATTCGATGTTACAGCCTATATCACCTATCATCTTTCCGAAGGTAGTATAGTGGGGTGCCTCAGAAAGACGAATCCCTTGGTAGAAGGCAGTAGAAGACGGTGCGGGGCATGAGTAGGCGCGAAGCCACGCGACATCCTCGCGTTTCTCCATCGGACCCACTCCGCCTACCTGGAGCTTACAAATGCGGTTCCAGCGACCTTTGCCGACATCTGCCATGTTGCGCGCAGCCCCAGCCTCTAAATTGCACGTTTACCGAAGATCCGAGAGATTCCCGGCAAGGCAAGCAGAACATCGGTCAGCTATCCTGACAAACTCATCTTCCAGACCGGCAGTTCGCCTTTGAAATCATGGCGATAACGCCGCCATTGGGTCTTCCCAATGCGGCCAGACTGATCGCCAACAGTTCAGGAAGCTAATGATCCATGATAGCCGCAGTTTACAGGGGAGCTACAAGCTGTGACGTGAACGCGGGCTAGCTCTTGTTATTCTTGCGTCACTATTCGGACCTTCGACGACCCCACATGCACATGGCAGTACATAAGGAGCAGGCACCGTCATGGCAGAGACGTCATAAAGGTTCAAAGGTCTTTTGTAGCTCCTTCGACTTCCCCATAACCAACACTCATACGCATAATCAACTACAACATGGCACCATCAACGACAAAGGCATGGACCGTTCAAGGCCAGGATGGCTTCGACTCTCTCAAATTCAATGAGCAGGCCAAGGTACCTGAGATTGGCGACAAGGACGTTCTAGTCAAGGGTGCGTAGAGCTCATCGAACAGCCTCCAGCAATAATACTGACCATATGACAGTCCACGCCGCATCATTGAACTACCGCGACCTTATCATTCCCATGGGCAAATACCCCTTCCCGATGAAGGACAACACTGTGCCTGGCTCGGATGGCGCCGGCACTGTAGAATCGGTTGGCAAGCGCGTCACACGCTTCAAGCCTGGAGGTTCGTATCTCTATACAGACCAATGCATACAGCCTTCTAACATCACCCAGACAAAGTAGTCACCCTCTTCAACCAAGGCCACATCGCCGGCTCCCTAGACGCACAATCTCTCGGCACCGGTCTCGGAGGCGCCATCGACGGTACTCTGCGAGAGTACGGCGTTTTTGACGAAGCTGGTCTCGTTGCGGCCCCCTCCAACCTGAACATGCTCGAGGCCTCTACTCTTTCCTGCGCTGCCCTCACAGCTTGGAACGCCCTGTACGGTCTGGAGTCACGCGCTCTCAAGCCTGGTGACACAGTCCTCACACAAGGTACCGGTGGTGTATCCATCTTTGCTCTGCAGTTCGCAAAGGCAGCTGGCGCCCGCGTCATTGCGACAACCAGTTCCGCACAGAAGGCCGACCTCTTGAAGAAGTACGGTGCCGACCACGTCATCAACTACAAGGAGACGACCAACTGGGGTGAGGAAGCCGCGAAGCTCACTCCCAACGGCGCTGGTGTACAGCACGTTGTCGAGGTTGGCGGCCCGACCACGATGGCGCAGTCTCTCAAGGCCATTGCCATCGACGGCGTCATCTCCATTATCGGTTTCATTGGCGGCGGCGGAAAGGACCAGCCTACGTTCCTCGACTGCCTTAACAACATCTGCACTGTGCGTGGTGTATTGGTCGGTTCAAGACTGCAGATGGAGGACATGTGCAAGGCAATTGAGGCAAATGACCTGCACCCCATTGTTGACGAGAAGGTGTTTGAGCTCAAGGATCTCAAGGATGCCTACCAATACATGTGGGACCAGAAGCACTTTGGTAAGCTCACTGTCAAGGTTGCATCATAGAGCATGCGACACAGAGTATATAGTACAGTCTAATTTACTGCAAGCACTACGCTATGCTATAACACAATTGTGCCTCTCGCTGGCTAACCAGAACCTGCCCGTCCCCCCGGCGAGACCAACTCGAACCCCCGAAGGGGTGAGTCAAGGTCTCAAACCAGGAGGACTAAGGCAAGAGTAAAGAACTAGCTACAAGAAAGAAAACAAATACAAGAGCCTCTCGCTGGATGACCAGACGAGCGTACCACGTGCCCTACTAAGAAAAGAAATTGAGCCTCTCGCTGTATAAACAGACGAGCGTACCACGTGCTCTGCAAAAAAAAAAGACCCCGAGGCAACTACCAAGGTACAAACAAGAACAAACTGCTCGCCAAACAGACCTCTGGACAACTACCAGGGTACCAAGAAAACAAAACTCCAACTATGCAAAAGCTCAAGCCTCTATGGGCGGTGGGGGGTATCATGGGGTATCAGGGTCGTAATGTAACCGTCGTGAAAAACCTCGTAAGCGACTGAACTCCATGCTGTGCGCCAAAAACAATGCGAAAAGAGAATCCGTGTGTTCGAACGAAGAATGGAAGAGTTGTACTCATTCCAGCTCGGTGGTAGGATGGCCGGCCAGCAGAGTGGTTGCGATACGCTTGCGTGCATCGTCCATGCCGTCGGTAGAAAGGACACGAGTGGGAGCGTCGCCGCGGATGAGGGTCAAAGCGTTCAGGAGAGTGAAGACACCGCAATCGCTTCCGTTCTTCTGTTGCTCACTCCTCTGACCAGTCTCTTTATTCCACTCCGAAGGAACCCAGTGTTCACCGAGCTCCTGCTCGAGGTATTTGACGAGCTTGTCGATGTATGTTTGTCCGTCAAGACCCATAGAGTCAAAGTACTCAATAGTGCGTTCCCGGGGATAAAGCGCGAGCAGACGCCAGTGACCTCTGTCACAGATGGGATAGAGGAGGAGGTCGGCGTCGAGGTACTGCTTGCCTTTCAGCTGGAACCTGTTGGTCCAGCGAGAAGTATCGGCAGTCTGGTACCAAAATGACGAAAAGGCGTGAAGGGGCGGTGCAGGACCGTTGCGCTGGTGAGCGAAGCCCATTTCCTTCTTCTTTGCAGCGATGAGAATAGAAAGATACTCGTTGACGATGCTGTCGTTCAACCATGCCCTGGGATCACCGTTGAAGACGCGAGGCAACAGAGTCGCAAAGTCTCGAGCGTATAGCTTGTCTTCAACGACGAACGAATCTGACTTGCGGCCGTATTTGGTCTTGGCTGCGGCGTCTTGCAGTGCAGCTTCTTCCTCGGGAGTGAGCGGCGCGATGAGTGGCTTCTGTGGCGGTGGGGGAGGCGGTGCCAAGGCAAGCTTCCTCTGCATTTCCCGCTGAAGGTCTTCGAGGAGTTCCAGTGAGAACTCGCACTCCAGGAGCGATTCATCGGGTGCGTCGAAAGCGTCAACGGAGACACCGCGCCAGCCGCCATTTTGCGCAGGAGAATCAAGAAGGGTTATCTGCGGGCTGCTGTCTGCTGACGAGCGAGAAGATGATGACGCCTGGCTGGCATTTGATGCGCCGCCATCGTTGTTCTGGAACACATTGTGGTATTCCCTGATCGGACTTGAAGTAATCGTCTCTAGCGTGGAGTCGAGCATCTCGCTGACTTTCGTGTCGACATAGAAGGGCTTGCATTTAGCATCCTTTTCCCATCGCACTCCCTTCGCTCGCGGCGGAGACGGCGCATCAACGAGGAATGATAAGTCGTTGGCGTATTCGACTTCAGAGGTTTCAGTGACCTCAGGGAGAAAGGACAAGTCGTTGGCGTACTCGAAGTCGGGGACGGCAGCTTCGGTTTCAGTCTTTGGTTGTGATGGAGATGCTGATGGCCAAGCATTCGTGGAGTGGAAGGGGTTCTGGTTGAATGACTCGGCGAAACTGTTCTTAGCCTGCTCGGTATCGGCGAAACCTTCCTCCGTAGACTCGAGCGCGGCATTGAGGCTTGCGATGCGCTTGCGTTCCCTGTACATTTGTGCCTTGACCAATTGACGTCGCAGAGGTGTGACCGTAGGCAGGTTGGAAGTGCGCTTGCCATTGGGGGCTGGGCTTGCGGATGCTTGCGACGAGGACAGTCCTTGCGCCGACGGTGACGTAAGACCTGAAGAGGCATGGGCAGTTGAAGCATTGCGGAGCTCAGAGATCCAGGCCGGGTTGGCATTGTCGTAGGCAGGCGGGTCATAGTGGTATAGTGGGGATGACAAGACCGGGCTTGCGGGCGAGGCAACCGCGGGTGAGGCGACCTGAGGGCTGTTCCAGAATATTGTCATGGGAGAGCCGGTCTGGGGGTCGCGCGGCGGGGTTGAAGTGAAGACATCCTCGAAAGAGAAGTCTACACTGACCTCAAGGTCCTCGTCGTCTTCCAGGCTGACGTTGCCGCCCTCGTCGAGAGATACATCTCTATTGTATGCTCCAGGCACGATTTCCTCGAATTCTTGTGTAGGTGCTGATGACGTATATTGAATTGGCGGAACGCGGAATTGGTTGGGGCTTAGCTCTGACGCGCGCGCCTGCCTTTGGTGTTCGCGACGCGCCTGGTTCGCGCGCGCGCGCACTGAAGGCGACGGTGTCGCGCATTCCTCGTCTGCCAGACCTGCGGAGATGAAGCGCTTCTTGTTGGAGCCGGTGGCGGAGATGATGGGGATCGCCTTGATAGTCTCGCGGCGGAGATAGCGGTTTGCAAGGCGTGCGGGGAGTGAGAGCAGGTTGGCAACGCTCACGGTCGCAGCCCACTTGCCGAGCGTGGTGAAGAGAGAAGCGCGCGGAGGTATGACTTCCTCGGCGGCGATGATGTGATCTTGTGGCCATCCGCCTGGGATACGCAGATGTGATATTGAGGAAGGGGTGTGTTGCTGCGCCTGCCGTTGTTGTCAGCTCGCGTCGCGTCAGTATAGGCAGCGACGACTACTCACCTGCAGTTGAGGAGCGCCGAAGCCATTGGCAGCGACTAGCATATCCGCAGACGCGCTGGAGAGGTAGGCGCTATAAGCGCGCTTGTTGGACATTGTTGGTATTGCTTGTCGCGGTGGTGGGTGCGATGGGCAGTAGTGACAACAATGTGGTGGAAGTGGTGTAGAGTGGAGAAGGGACGAGGGTCGCGGCTGCTGCACAAAGCTGCCCGCAGTAGCGGCCGCGCACGGACCCGCGGCTAACGGTTCGCGCTAAATTGCCTGAGGCTCTTGGTACCCGGCGCGGAGAAACAATCCACCATTACGGCCTGCTTCCAAGGTAGTATGTGCCTGCAGTGCGTGGTGCTGCTTCTCCCCATATTCCTGTCATAGATCCTGCTGCCGCCGTCGATATCGCCTTGCACGCCACACACAGCCTCCGACTCCAACGCCCTCCGGATTGCAAGTCGCTACTGCCCACCGCCTCTACTCGTGTCTGCTGCACGTCATTGGTCGAGTTTGAAAGGGCAAGAACCCCTCGACAGCAGCTCTACATCACAACAACCGATCGACCCCCCACCTACATCGATCCCGCCGCCCCGCAACCATGGATACCAATATGGAGGACGTCAAGATGCCAGAGCCTATGCAGCTGTCGTCTGCCCCCACGACTGAGCCGACCACAATCCCCACGCTGGACGGCTGGATTGAGAGTCTGATGAGCTGCAAGCAGCTGGCCGAGAGCGACGTGCAGAGACTATGCGACAAGGTATGCGACATCCGCCTGGCGCGCAATGTCATCGGGGATGCCTTTTCTGACAAGCATCGTGTTACAGGCCCGCGAGGTACTTCAGGACGAGTCCAATGTACAGCCAGTGGTACGTACCCTTTTTGCCGCGCCTGCGACATCTGCTCACCGTCGCATAGAAATGCCCCGTCACTGTCTGCGGTGATATACACGGCCAATTTCACGACTTGATGGAGTTGTTCAAGATCGGTGGCCCCAACCCGGACACCAACTACCTCTTCATGGGTGCGTTGCCTGCCTCAACCCTGCCAGCCCATACTGACTGACGTGCACAGGCGACTATGTCGACAGAGGCTACTTCTCCGTCGAGACCGTCACCCTCCTAGTCGCACTCAAGATTCGATACCCCCAGCGCATCACCATTCTCCGTGGCAACCACGAGTCCCGCCAGATCACCCAAGTCTACGGCTTTTACGACGAATGTCTCCGCAAGTACGGCAATGCCAACGTCTGGAAATACTTCACAGACCTATTCGACTACCTGCCGCTCACCGCCCTGATCGACAACCAGATCTTCTGTCTGCACGGTGGTCTCTCCCCTAGCATCGACACCCTTGACAACATCAGGGCGCTCGACCGCATACAGGAGGTGCCTCACGAAGGACCAATGTGCGACCTGCTCTGGTCCGACCCAGACGACAGGTGCGGTTGGGGAATCTCACCCCGTGGTGCAGGATACACCTTCGGTCAAGACATCTCGGAGGCCTTCAACCACAACAACGGCTTGACGTTGGTGGCACGTGCTCATCAGCTAGTCATGGAGGGGTATAATTGGTCGCAGGACAGGAATGTCGTTACCATATTCTCGGGTATGTTGTTCAATTTTCCGTTGCCGATGATCCCACTGACCTCGTACAGCACCGAACTACTGCTACAGATGCGGTAACCAGGCCGCTATCATGGAGATCGACGAGCATCTAAAGTATACCTTGTAAGTTCCTTCCCTCTCGATAAGCTATTTTCAATATCTGACACACGTCCCAGCTTGCAATTCGACCCTTGCCCACGCGCAGGCGAGCCTATGGTGTCGCGAAGGACCCCGGATTACTTCCTCTAAGCGGACTCTTCCTCTTGGCTCCCACCGCTATCTCAGCACAGCGTTACATTTGGAAGTCATCACTGAATACACTATGTACGATTGCATTCCTGGTCACCCGAGCCGTCATGAAAGTGACGGGAGACGCGTGGCAACGACGTGCTCGCTTGAAATGAGGCTCTCATCGTCTACAAGGCCCAAGAAGCCGTACTAGAGACACGTGGGAATGTTGCAATAGGTGGTGATGTAGCTAGTGCGAGACTGATAATGGTAGAGAGTTGACTGTAGAGCTCCCTATATGTGCTTTGGTGAATATGTTTGTTATTCGTAATGCACTCCCGCGCATGGGCATTGATCTTTGACACGCGATCTATATCCTCATTCCATCGCTATACCTTCTTTTGATACGTACCACCATGTGGTAACAGATTACATGTTGTATTGGGCGACTACCGTGATGCTGTCTTTTGAGACATGTAAATTATTGTCTCGCGATGAATTGTAACTATCAGCACTGCATATACATTAGTGCAAAGGAAAATGTCATTCTCGGATGGTGCGCTGTCTGTGTCGCTGGATGGCTGTCAACTAGCCATGCTAGCTGAGTCAGCCACCGTCGTGCATCTCGAACTTTTGTCCAGGGCCAACATCTCGAGCCACACCACAGCGCCCGCTCATGATGCCTCTCACACTCTTCCGATGTCTTGCGCGACCCTCGATCCTCTCCGCAGTTGCTTTCGCTCCGGCGCGATCAACACGGCCACCAATCGCCGCCTTCGCTTTCCAGAACAGCACCCCGGCCTTCGCAGCCCGCCCAACACCGTCGTCGCGCGCACACAAATGCACATTAATACAAGTCCTGCGACAGGGAAGGATAGCGCGGAAGGCGCGTAAACTGCGATCGCCACAATTGAAGGATAGGCCGGAGCTGAAGGGCGTGTGTCTGAAAGTGGGAACGACGAAGCCGAAGAAGCCCAACTCGGGCGAGCGAAAGATTGCGAGGGTCAGACTGAGTACGGGCAAAGTTATCACGGCGTATATTCCGGGAGAAGGTATGGCAAACACATGGGAATAGTGAGCTACGGGAAGACTGACCAGTACGCAGGTCACAATGTACAGCAGCATTCAGTTGTCATGGTACGAGGCGGACGAGCGCAAGATTGCCCTGGTGTGAAGTACCATTTGGTTCGAGGAGCACTGGATCTGGTAAGTCTCGTGAGCACAAATATCATGGGAGGACATGGCTAACACTCTGCAGGGTGGTGTCGGTAGCAGAATCACCTCACGGTCAAAGTACGGAACGAAGAAGCCCAAGACGGCATAGATGGATATTGCGGTGGAGTGTAGACATATGACTGTACTATACCCTAGCATCATGGGCGTTGAAATATAGCGGACGTGGAAATGCATGATCCGACTACTCAAGTATGCCTGGTTCAAGGACATAGGCACACCGTAGACATTCGTCATGGCATGTTTGACACTTGTGCATTTGTAGAATAACAGTCGTGGTTCATCTGAGAACTCGTGTACCATTGGGGTGTGGCGCAGGTCAATATACCTCGGAGGTTTACCTATGCAGCTGCAGCCCGACGGCTCGGAGGTCGCGTCATTCCAAGGATTCCACGGTCGACTTCCGCACCAAGTCCACAGCACCCTTACATCGTCGCGCAAGCTCAAGACGCTTGACCCAACTATCGCTGTGAACTGCATCTGTCTCCACAGTCGCCATGTATCTGCTTCAATAATTACTGGATTTAAACAACACTTCGAGTAGTTCTGCTTGCCGACCTATCCTCGGATATCCGCAACCGCCGCAATGGAGACGCCAGGCGCGTCTGCCAACGCGACTTCCTTCTTGCCGTCGCCAGCAGACCTGCTCATGGCATTACCGCGCCTCTTCTCCAAGGCCAGTTCTCTCGGCGACATGATGCGCTCGGGTGGAAGCGTTATCGCAGAACCTACGGCCAACATGACAAACAGCACCATGACGACTACAGGCTCGGGATTTGTGCAGGAATCCATCGCTGCAGCGGCTTCTGCGATTTCGACCGAGGGCGAGATGACCGTGTGGCAAGCTTTGAGGAACGTAGCCGCCTGGTTCAGCTACATTACTTCCAAATGGGCCGTCGCAACATTCGCCCTGGTGAGCATCTGCTCCCATGACTACGACTACTACCTTATGCTGATCTGATGTCGCAGGCAATCGTGCTTAACAGAACCCACTTCTACGCCAACAGCCGCGTTCCGCTTTCCTTCGACCGCCTCTACCTTCGTTTCGCCCTCTACATCATGCCCTTGATCCTCTTCCTCTATCAGACGCAGAACACTATACGGGCGATACGCTGTCAAACCTCCCCAGGTTGGTCAGAGATGCAGTATGGAGCGGATGGTAGGCAGCTGGATACAGACTTCGGTGGCGAAGGCGGCTTTCTATGGCAGGTCACGTCCAAGATACTCTTCTGGGAGACTACAGAGAGCTCATGTCGAGCTGCGAATATGTTGCCCATCGGTCCGGCGACCACGCGGCCTTCTGGCTCGCTATCGCTTCTATGGCCCATGTTTGTGACACTTGGATTTGGCCAGTTCGTTGATACCTTGGCCTGCGCCCTGCAAGGAAGACGCCCCATTCAGGAAGTCGGAATGACCATCTTCGAACATTCGCTCGCATTTGCAGAGGCCGAGGCTGTCGTCACGAAGCCGCTAGCGGTCGATTCCGTACGCTTCTTCAAACCGAAGTCTGTCTTCACTCCGGATGGCACATCCTTTACGATTCCGAGGTCGAAGCTCTCCAAGATCGCCAATGTACCACCGGAAGTGCTATTGATTTCCCTCATCTCAAGTTTCAGCCACTTCATGAGCAACTTGTTAGCGATTGCTGGAGTGCGCTCTAGATGGCGACTCGTCACGACAACAATCTGCGGACTTGCCTACATGTCAGCTTTCGCATGGAGCTGTGTTCGTCTGGCAACCATGGTCACTGATCCAGACCACTATGTGGGGATCTTGAGATTTCCTACTGTATGCATCATTGGATTCATCCCGCACTTGCTGATACTTGTGGGCATCGCGATATGCGCACTAATCTACCTGCTGGCCTTCATCATCACCGTACTATCTCCACCTGCAGGACACGCCAACAACTTGTCTCTGAGAGAGAGATTTGCATCCGCTTACGGCAATCTCCATGCCAACATTCATCTGTCCTCAATAACGCCTTTGACTATTAATTGGCACGAAGACTTCTATACAACTATACTCAAGGTAGGCTACGTCATTTTGACATCCGCCAGTGAAGCCGTGTTTCTCAACGAAGGAACTAAGGTCAATGTGCACCCAATGACCTGGCTCGAAAAGCAGAGACTGCAGGAACTGCTCGCTCGGCGAAGAAGAACACGAGAGATGATCACCGACATCCCATCTGAGCTCAGGAACGACACCTTCGCGCAAGGCATCGAGGTAGTTGACGAACTCAACGATGTCAGAACGGACACATCACTGTCAGGTTATGCGAAAGAACGTAAAACGCGAGGAGTACAGGCATCCACTGAACCAACCATTGGACAAAATGATCCTGCGATTCAACAACGTAGTCGCTACTTGCAGACCTATCAGTTCTTCTTCCGTATATCAAAGTTGATTATACTTAGTCTCGCAAGGATCACGGACTGGGCGTTGACTAAAATCTCGATCAGCTATCGACCAAGATGGCTACAACGCGCTGTTGGGTTCCACGCTGATCATGTTGATAAAATGTATGCTCCGCGACACCCCGATCAAGCGTTGACAAGAGAGTCATGGCTCACGGCAGATGATCGGTCTCGAATTCGCCAAGACCGGAATTTTGACGTTGAAGTCTTTGCGAAGGAGAGGCTCCGACAGAGTGGGTTCTATTCGGGACCCAATAGGGAAGATTCTGAAGAACGTCTTGACGACTACCTGTATTCCTGGTGGCGCAACGGTAGTCTATGGAATGACGTTGACAACACCAGAGACTATGTTGACTCGCAAGATGATGACACGACTAGTGTAGTGTCATTTGCTACCACAACAGACAACGATGAGTGGTCAGACATGGACGACGGTCAAAGAACACCTACGCGTGCAACATACCAGAGAAGTCGGGAAGCAACACCTATCCCTGACGACGCAATGGACTTCTCGAGACTCTCTCAACTTCTGGATCCGAAATCTAGTGAGGATCGTGAAGAAGCCAAGCTGCTGTCTCGCCACCTCCAGAGCTCCAATATCATGACACGCTCGCAGTACCGCAAAGCTCTTGAGCGCGAAGAGGCGAAGATCCTCACAACATCACGCTATAAGATGAGCGGTGGCGGCGTCAACATGTCGCCCGAAGAAGAAGAGCAACTTCTGGAAGATCTTATTCTCAATCGTCGGAGCGCAACGGCGCCGCAAGGCGCAAGTACAGCTGGAAGCTGGGACACGGGTGCAGAAGGTATGGGCTCAGAAGGACCCCAATGTGTAGTTTGCCAGATGTCGCCAAGGACAGTACTGGTGTGGCCATGTGGATGCTTGAGCCTTTGCGATGACTGTCGGGTGGGGTTGGCTTCGAAGAACTATACGGCATGTGTATGTTGCAGGACTAATGTGGCTGCATACTCGCGTCTTTTCGTTCCTTGAAAATCTAGGGGTCTGCATAGGGCCGGCGTTGAACGTTTGTTTGCATGATCCTGTACATGATAGCACATTATACAGGAATCGATCAAAATTTTACCTCATAAGAGTCTACATTACCAAGGAGATATCGCCCACTTTCACTTTTACACTGATGTAGACGGCAAGGCACTTGTTGCTTCGGAACTTATCGGAACGAGGCCGGCTACATTCAGGTACTTAGGCCGCACCTAGATAGTGGTGACGTTTCCACACGCCATGTGATGGTCGGCCCACTGCTGCAAACTGTTAGTATCATTTATTCCCCCCACGTTCGTAGTTCTAAGTGGCGATCGTCATATCGATCACCGCCGACTTGGCAACGCAAACCGAGTCATCAACTGCACCCCCCGAACTCCCTTCCACTTCAACGTTACCAAACTACCCAAATTTCGCCCACGCCTCCAACCTCTGACTGAGCATTTCCAACGAGCTCGGTCGATTGCCCTCACCCAAGAACCAGACCCAAAATTTTATGCAGCCAGAGCCCATCAACGCATCACAAAACGTTTCGTACCAGCAAACCTCTTTCAACACCGCCACCACCTCCCAGCATGGACAGCGCCGCAGCCTTGACTTCCAGGTCTCTCTGCAGCCTCACCCAGGTGAGCTGCGGGGAGAGTCTGAGCCACAACCCCGCGGGTTCGCACGCGATGCGACGCGTTCAGAGACCGAGAGTACAGTCGGGACCGTGGAAACAGATGGACTGAAGCGCGTCGCGTCTCCCTCGCCACCCCCGAGGGACAGGATCACCGAATACGAGAATGCGCTGAAGTCTTCACCGCGAAAGTCTGCTGACGGACCCCTCTTCGAGATCGTCAAGAGCAACAAGAAGCCCAGCGATAAGAGCTCGCCCATCGCGAACCTGCCTAATGGTGTGTACAAATGCCTCGAGAACGGGCGGAACGCGAATGCACGAGTAAGAGCTGACGATGCGTAGAGGTTCTGATCCATGCTATCGCCCACCTGTCACCAAACGATCTCGCCGCCGTATCCCTTGTCTCTCGCCGCTTCCATGATGTAGTCACTACCCCACACGCCTGGCAGGTGGCATTCGGTCGCTACTTCCCTGGCCCGCACTCACTCGAAGATGCCGCCTTTCGTTCGGCCCTCGAGGGCAGTGGCTCGGTCGTGCGATCAGAGAAGAGACGCTTCACCAGGCTCACTGCGCTGGCATCGTGGAGAAGCGAGTACATTCTACGCACGAGACTGCTGCGGTCTTTGGTCAGGGGCAAGCCTGTACAGGTACCTGCGACACCGTCCCGCGCATCTCAGATGCAGACCATCACCCCGATGATTACCTACGATGCAAAAACGTATACTATCATCAACCACCTGCAGGCCACGTTCGGATCCGGTCTGAATAAGAAGATGCCGCGCTTCATCCATGGTGCAGACGATATCGGCATGGTAACCAGCAGCGATCCGATGACTGGCAAAGTGGATCCTTGGGGACAGAGCGACCCTCACTTCTATGGCCAATTCTCAGAACGCTTTCCGGGTACCGCAGAGTGGGGTCTGGGCTCAGGAGAGATCGTCGGGCGACCCAATGTTATGGACATATCGCAGCCATATGGCATGATCTATGGCCAGGGCTGTCCCGAGGGCTCGTGTTATTACCGCTCCCTTGAGGAGATGCGTGGTCGATTCATAGCTGAGCCCACCGACTTCGCTATGCCTGAAGTCGGTATACCCAAGCTGGGTATCGACGGTGGTGCTATCTGCAGCGTCTGGATCGCCAAGTCAAACACGATCCCGACCCTTTCGGATGGCTTGATTGGCATGATGATGGGATCTGCAGCTGGCGTCGTCAGTGCCTGTAGCATCGGTACAGATGGTCTTCGCTCCTCCCGTGTACAGCGTGGGGAGCTGACTGCGCGCTGGGTTCTTAGCCCAGGAGTACCTATCATTGCCATCGCCGTCGACGAACAATACTCAACCAAGCGCTATGCTCAGAACCGCATTTGGGCGGTCGCTCTGAATGCACTTGGCGAGATCTTCTATCTCACCAAATTCCCAACTCGCAGCCAGGCCACGAAAGGCGACATTGAGCACTACTCCGAGTATCTGGGTTGGCTTACTGGCCGCACCGTCTACTGGAACTTGGTGGAGCCCAGCCGACGTACTGCGAGGCCTGATCCGTACAGCGATGCCGATGTCGACGGTAGTTATTCGCCGCGAACCTCATGGGATGGCATGTGCTTGAGCAAGGATCAGATCATCGCCGAAACAAGGGAAATCCAAGAATATCTTCGCAAGCAGCCAAAACATTTCCGAAAAGCATGCCTTGGATGGGATATGCGACGAACGCTCGAGGTTGACTTTGCCGGAGACGATGGGAATCATGCTGGAGAATCCGTAGTGGTCTTCGAATGCGGGCTTGAAGAGGGAGACGTCGCCGATGTTAAACGCTTCACCCGATATAAGATTGACGAAAAGGACAAGAGTACGAACATCTCAAGTCGCATTTTCACGCCTCAGCCTGCGCAAGCTACATCTTTATTCGGCGGTCCTGGCGCGGATCCTACAAAGCCTCTTCGTGGTCGCAGCTCTTCCTACATCTCGTCCACAAGTTCACCAGAACGAGCCGCTCTGTTCGAAGAATGGAGATGCTCAAAGCTTACATTCGGCGGGTTCAAGAGCACTCAGGTCACTACAACTGCTTTGGACGTCTCTACCTTCGCGACTTTGACCTTGTTTGAGGATCCTGCGCTTGGTTTCTCGACTGCCTCGACTGCATCCTCGCCTTACTCTTCTCCGATGTCTGTTGCAAGCCAGCCGGCCTCTCCCTCTGACATTCCTGGACAGCGCGCAAGGTTCCTCGCTGCTGGTACCAAGTCTGGCGTGGTGCTGGTTTGGGATGTCCGGGCGCCTACTTCGCGCTCGTCGGAGTACACAAACAACATTGAGCCTGTTCGTATCATCTACACCGACTCGCCAGAGATATCCTGCGTGGCTGTCACTTCACTTTATCTCGTAGCAGGTGGAAACGACGGCTTGGTACAGGCATGGGATCCACTGGCTTCGAGCATGTCGCCCATAACAACGCTTCACTCCCGACATGCGTCGCGTGCTCGTAGACAGCTTGTGCAGGCCCAAGCTTCCGTTCAAGGAGTCGGCATCAACATGTTTGCTGCTGGTGCCGTATGCTTGGACCCTGATCCGACCGTCTTGCGCGGTGCAGTCTCTCTTGGCAATCAGCTTCGATTCTGGAGTTACAGCTCATCTGCAGCCGATCAGTATAGAAGCAGTAAACGCAGGCTGCGAAGAGCCGAGCGTGGAAGTAACAATACCACAGAGCGCTTCGCCGGTACAGGCAGAGTCAACCTGAAGAACTACATTGCCAACGAACAGTTCGAGTTGGAGCGTGATAGACAAGAGCGTCACAAGCAGGCCGAGCATTTGGCAGGCCGTTTTGGCACGGAGCTACTAAGCGAGGAGGAGGCTCTAGCATACGCTGCAATGCTTTCGCAAGAAGCTGCTGAGGCAGACGAACTACGCCGCATCGAGCGCGAGAGCAGTGCCCTTAGGAGTGAGCCTGTAACGCCAGAGGCGAGCGTCCAGGGCCAACCTTCATCGCCTGATACCAAGGACGACGACGAACTGGATGCCGACATCGCCGAAGCCATCCGTCTATCTCTCAACGATAGCTCCGGAGCTGGCAGCTATGAACCCGCCTCCACGCCTCCTTCTGCGTTTGAGATTCCGATCAAGTACGCCAAGAGTAAAAAGTCTCCCTCATCCCGCTCCCAAAAGAGCACGCCTAGGAAGGGCAAGGCCGCTGCTGGATCAAGTAACGGAAGCGAAATGTCAGATCTGGAGTTTGCCATGCAACTGAGTCTTGCTGAAGAGCAGAGTCGGAAGGATGCTGAGGATGCGTTTCCACCGCTCAGTCCAGCAGCTGGCAGTAAGGGTAAAGGGAGAATGTGGTAGTTTGGTTGGCCGACTGTTCAGCTTGTCTTGGGCGTCTTTGCTATTCACCTTTCTTTTCAGCGGTCTCACGCTTAATACATTTGAAATCTCACGTTTGTTCGATTCTTCGTACGGTACACCGATAGTCAGTATTGGCTCGGATGTACCGTTGCACCCTGATCTTCCCGGTCGGGTTTCTGTATCGGGAGGGCGGTAGCTTCTTGTACCTTGCGCAAGATTTGAGCATAGCTATAGGTTATCTCCAGTAGCTTGTTGCTTTCGCTGTCCAAATACACACCTGAATCCATTTTGACATCCGCTCCTGATCGGTACGACTGGACTTATTGGCACTTGGCCGATTCTTCATGGCTGGGCCTCAATGCGGTTAGCTTGGAGGCCTTACCGCTCAGCCCCCTGACACTTCCTAGGCTCCAACCAGGTTGTGTTCCTGTCTCGGACAACAGCAAGTATAGAGTAGTGTCGGATAATTTTGTTCAAAAGAGTTGGGAACGCGCGATATAATCTTAAACTCGACGCCATATTACGGTAGAGAGAGCGCTTGGCGACTACGTCTCTTCGTAAAGTTCCATCAGCAACCCGCATCGGCATTCTAAAGACTACGAGGGCAGCTTCTGAGAGGTTCCGGTCCAGAATCCGATACCCACAGCAACTAGAGAAGAAAGTCGCAAAGGCGTGAAGGCTTACTCCCCGTCAACAGCAGCATGGCGGGTCTCTCCATCACATCAGCCCTACTTTCCCCTATCAACAAACTGCGCGGGAAATCGAATCCATACCAGAAAAAACACACCGCTCCCAAAACCCCGGCCCCAAACAGTGAATTCCTAGCCGAAGCCCGACAAGCAGCTGGCCGTGATCCCGTGACCGGAAACCAACAGCGCGCAAACGAACCCACGAGCACCGACCTCCTAGCTGAAGCGCGCGAAGCAGCCGGTCGCAACCCGTTAACCGGTCGCCCACAGCCCGTTGTCACAGGCAAGAAAGCAAAGAAGCAGAAACTGTCGTTGGAACAACAGCAACAGGCGGCCGAAGAACAGAAAGCCGCGTTCCTTGCTTGGGCGGCAAGACATCCACAGCAGGGCGGGCGGCCGTATGAGAGCTACGAGGCTTTCGTGCAGGAGATGGTGGCGAAGCGGACGGGGAATGTGGAGCAGCGGACGGGTGCGGGATATTATGCGCCGGAGAGGAGTGTGGGGGAGTATTATTCGGGTGGGGTGAGGGATTAGGGTGTTGGTTTGAGATTTGGGGTTGTTTTGTTTGTACTGATGATTTATGGCATGTGGTTTCCTTGTTCTAGCGAATGGTTTGGAGTTTTTCATGGAAAGAGCTTTTTGGGCAGGTGCAGGTGGGGATGTCTACAGCGTTGAGCAAACGAGGTTTGGAAGGTGCAAACGGAGGTTGATGGGGCATGTGATGGGGTCTATCAGATCGTACTTTCCTCGACTTCTCTCTCACCTGTCTCGCACGACAACATCTTCGATATTCTTTCTAATCTGCTTCCTCATACATCTCCGAGAAACACAGTAAATTGAATCTCGTCACCATGGGTTCGGTAATGCTGCAGCACCTGCCCTCAGCATGGCACGTTGACCAAGCCATCGTACGTTATCTACACCCATCAACTCCACCACAGCTATTTTGTCAAATGCGACCCTCCACTACGCCCAAACTAACACCCAACCAGCTCAGCGAAGAAGCCCGCATAGTCTGCCTCCGTTTCGGCGCCGACTACACACCCGAATGCATGGAGATGGACGAGATGCTGTACAAGATCGTAGACGCAGTCAAAGACTGGGTCGTCATCTATGTAGTCGACAATAAGGTACTTTCCTTCCCTCCTTCCCTCCTTCTTTTCTTTCCTCTACCCTCCCACCCTCTCACCATCTCACCCTCCCTAACCATCCTGCCATCTCAAACCTCGCTAACACCCCCACCCCACCAGCAAGTCCCCGACTTCAACGCCATGTACGAAATCTACGATCCCTGCACCGTCATGTTCTTCTGGCGAAACAAGCATATGCAGGTTGACTTTGGCACGGGCAATAACAACAAGATCAACTTTCCGATTGGGACGAAGCAGGAGTTGATTGATATATTGGAAGCCGTGTATAGGGGAGCGAGTAAGGGGAAGGGGCTTGTTGTTAGTCCGAGGGATTACTCGACTAAGTGGGCGTACTAGTCGGAGGGGAAAGAGGGGTGGGAGGAGATGCGAGTGAGGAGTGTGGCCCTGAGCTGTCTGATACCGAGGAAGAAGAAACGTCGGGTACGTGGGTTGAAAAGATGTGGCACGTTCTGATCAGCCAGGAAACACAGCAAGGCTAAAGTGATGATATGATGTATAATTTTTATAAACTTGTTTCCTATTGTAGAGGCAACCAGCCTCGCGTTTAATCCTCAACGACAAAATCCCAAGTACTTGTCTCTAGCTGTACACCTTGGGCAATCGCCAGACAAGATTCTTTGACGCCATCCAACGCCATGCCATGCAAGTTAGCTCGCAAATATTGCAAATGAAGCAAGATCAATCCTCGCTGTGAACAAAGCAGAACAACGCCAGAAAGGTATGCAGCGCCCTGGCAGGAAATGTTAACAAGCCTCACTAATGCTTTGAAGAAAACAGATGCAACTTCTTCTTCTTCTTCTCTTTGCCTTCTTTCTCTTCTTTGCCGGGTTTGGTGGTACTGCTCTGTGACGGCGAAGGACTGTGTTTTTGTGGGTTGGAATTGAGGTTGATGGCACCCATAGCTGCTGTTGGGGGTTTCGGGCCAGCGACTCTGGGTCCGGATGGCAGACCTCCGGGCATGGGAGGCTTGGTACCAGCAGGCGGCGGTGCTGGCTTCGGGGGCTCAGGCTTCTCGAACAAATGTGCTGGGGCTATAGGCTGCGGTTGATCGATGGGTAAGCGCAGACTGCGGCGGTTTTGACTGAGATCGCCGACTTGGCGGAGGAAGAGCTGCGGCTTCATCATGTGTGAGGTGACGAGGAACACGTCTCTCGAGGTTTTGTTTGAGACATCGTAGCAGGCGCGGGCCTCGGAGTAGGTTGCACCGCCGGCGACGAATACGATGACGCGTTGACGGGGCTCAGCGCTCGCAAGTCGCGATTTGGCCCATGTCGGTTTTGCGGAGCGGAGGGAAGCGGGCGCAGTATTTTCCTGTGCCATGCTGGCGACATCATCGGGTGACATCTTAGTGAAGGGAAAGACGTCCTGGGGTAAGCTGCCGCGGATGTGCTCCTCTAGCATGTCCTGGAGCGCCGGGTTGAATCTGGATAGACCGTAGTCCTCAGTATTTGGAGGTGGGGCTGCTTTCGGTGGGAAAAGTGGTGGCTGTGCATCTCTTTTCTCTTTCAGTTGTCTAGCGACTCGCGCACCAAGCAGGTCAAGGTTACGGACAACGTCGCCGTCGGGAGGTGGCAGTTGTGCGTGGAAGAGGAGCTTTTGGAGGTCGGCTGGTAGTATTCCGTTCTTAAAGATTACGTAGAGCGCGATAAGGCGTAGCCGGTCAGCTGGCGTTATCTCTTCGTCGTCCAATGTGCGCACAATCTGGTCAGTCATGTTCTTGGGCTTACGGTAGTCTTCGTCAAGACCGGTAGCAAGGCACTGGAAAGGTTAGCGACAGCCATGGGCCAACCTTGGTGGGACTCACCTGTTCCACCGAAGCAAGATCTGGGAGTTTGTGCTTCTGGAAGATCTCCATGCACTTCTGCGCCATGGTGAGATGTAGCGAATAGGCTTCCTTCATCTCCTGAAACTGAGGTAAACCAGCGATCATATCCTTGATTGCATTCAGTCCATTCATTCCGGCAGCGTTCTGGGCGTCTTGGTTCGTGAAATGGGGGTTGTCGGCGATGAACTTTTGGAAGTCGCTGATCAGCTTGTCGAGAGTGTCCTTCATGTGCCGATGGCGGTTTTCCACCCATATCTTATCCTTGTCGGATATCTCCATATCCTTCTCCTCCGCCTCGGGGTCCTCTTCGTTGACAATGGTGCGGTAGGTCACCTTGTCGCTGTCTTGTATAGGCAGCAGATCCATGGCCATTGCTTGGTATGTGAACTCGTGGAGGAAGGGTGCCATGAGGTCCATGGATCGATCGGTGATGTAGAGGGCACCGCGGGGTCGGTTCGATTGCGGGGGGAAGTCTTGGTTGAACTGCGCGTACATGTCAAGCTTGTCTTGGACGAAGCGGGCGAGGTGTGAGCACAAGACGCTGGCCTCGTGGGTTGGAGCTCGCGGTCGGTAGTATCGGATGATGGGGTATTCGCCGAGTGCGACGCAGATTCCGGTGATCTAGGGCTGTCAGCAGAAGCTTGCCAGGAGAGGTACACTACCCACTCTTTCGGCGATATCCTCCATGTGCCGCACTACGAGGTTGTTGCACTCGGGGTGGTAGAGGATGGGGAAGCTCCATGGGTCTTTGAAGGTGACGAGGTGCGACTCCTGGGGGTGGAAGTCGAGGTGCACTGTGCGGAAGCTCCGAATCTGCTCGCGCGCCATCTGCGACCGGTCTATGCGCTCCTTGAGGTGTGGTGGCAGCAGAGTTGTCCATATCAGAAAGAAGCCGCGGTATCTGCGCTGGTCGAACTCGGCCATCATGCAGTCGACAATGTGTGGCTTGGGCGTGATGATGTACACGGCGTCCATGTCGCGGATCGTCTGCCGCCGGTCCTCGATGCGCTCGATGTCTGCGAGGTTAGGATCTGGCGTCTGAGGAGCGTGCGGAGTCGCGTACTTGTGATGTTGAGGTTGAGGATGTCATCTTCCTTGACCACGTTGTTGATGAGCTTCTGGCTGTCCTCGTCCACAATGAGTATCTTCCACTGCGCGGTAGTCGTTAGCGGAGTGCAGGCGCATTGGGGGGAGATTCATACGTCGCCGCGCGTCGTCTGCTTGATCGAGTTGAGAATGACTATGTGGCCTATCAGCACGTGTTCCTCAGGAGTTTCGCGGTGTCAATTTACGGTCGCGCTGGATATCGATCATGGAAGCCATGTTGGCGGGGTATCGCAGCGAATGCCGCTGGGAAAAAGGCGAGGCGGTGGAAGCGGCAGCGGTAACGTGATGCGCAGACGAAGGCGTGTGTGGGCCAGCTCTGTCGGGGCGAGGCACACGTGGTGCTGGGCTGTCGCGGCGGTGGTGAGGAAGGCGCGTCTCAGCTAGAGTTGCGTCGCGAGCTGCGGCGGGCAGGCGCCGCCGGAGGTCCCTACTGTACTACTGCGGTAGATGCTTGGCAACTTTTTATTCGGCATTACGTCGTCGACTTGAACATTCCTGTCGTCCTTCATTTGTACAGGCGCCTGGCGCTTTGAATTCTGTCTTTTCTTCTTTCTTCTCCTGTATGATACCCACCATTGGCATGCCTCTGCTGCCGGCGCGACGGAGTTCGCTATGTCTCATCTGCTCTTTCGCCGCCCGCTCTCGATCGCGAACCCAAAACCTCCTGCCCCGAATCCAAGCCGCACACCGTTCCGCTCCAGCCAAGCCCTCGAAGACGACGCATTTCAATCCTCTCCAGCAGGGTAAACTTTCAAAAGGAGGCGATTCCAGATCTTCCAAGTCGTCAATACCCATAGGCATAGTCCGCGACAAACTAGACACCCTGCACAAGGAATTCGCCACGCCAGAATTTCTCGACCGACTCCAAATAAGCCGCGAAGACTTCGACAAGGAATGGACGACCTTCGAGCGGTCCATCACCCTATGGATCAAGCAGGCCCCGCGTGAGTTGGTCACGTTGGTGCAGGAGGCCCAGCGGAGAAAGAACACACTTGAGAAGAGGCTACGATATCTGTTTTATGCGCAAGCATGTGGCGGCCGCTTCACGACGGCCGAGGCGGAGAACCAGAAGGAGGTGGCGGACCTGCGCTACCCAGCCGAATGGTATCCAGCGACACGGGAGATTACGCGGACAGTACACATGCACGTTGGGCCGACCAACTCTGGCAAGACGTACCACGCCCTGAAGCGTCTGGAAGAAGTCAACTCGGGCATCTACCTCGGTCCGCTGCGCCTCCTCGCCCATGAGGTCTACACGCGCCTGAATGCAAAGGGCAAGCCATGCGCTTTGGTTACGGGTGAAGAACAGCGCTTGCCCGAGGACACACACGCCAACATGTACAGTTGTACAGTCGAAATGGCCCCGCTCAACACTAGATTTGATGTGGCTGTCATCGACGAGATACAGATGATCAACCACCAGGAACGGGGCTGGGCATGGACACAGGCTTTCATGGGTCTACAGGCCAAAGAAATCCATCTCTGCGGAGAAGCACGCACAGTACCACTGATGCGCGAGCTTTGCGCTCTTGTTGGCGATAAAGTGCACGTACACGAGTACGAGCGTCTGACGCCACTTCAGATCCAGCCGAAGAGTCTGGGAGGCAACCTCACACTCCTTGAAAAGGGTGATTGCATCGTTGCTTTCACCGTCCTCGGTATCCATGCGCTGCGACGCGAGGTGGAGAAGAAGACAGGCAAGAAGTGCGCTATCGTATACGGAGGCTTGCCACCTGAGACAAGAGCTCAACAAGCCCGCTTATTCAACGACCCAGACAATGACTACGACTACCTCGTGGCGAGTGATGCCATCGGCATGGGTCTCAACCTGTAAGCAGTGTCTCATCTTGACTTTCGATACCCGGATGCTAACCAATGTAGTGCTATCAAGCGTGTCATTTTCGAATCTACTATCAAGAGTAACGGCCTGAACTACGTGCCCCTGCAGATCTCCGAGATCAAACAAATCGCCGGCCGTGCCGGGCGCTACAAAACTGCTCAGCAAGCAGTCACTACAGACTCCGAACAGGCTTCGATTGTTGACGGCGCCGCTGACCCCGCCATTGGCCTAGACGACAAGCAACCCGATACTGTCGAGGCAAAGAGACCTGAAGAGAAGACTATAGGATGGGTTACTACACTCGACCAAGTCGACCACGCGGCCTTGAAATTGGGCATGAAGCGTGAGCCCGAACACATCAGCACAGCCGGCCTCTTCCCGCCGTCGCTTATCGTTGAGCGGTTCGCCAACTACTTCCCCCCGGGAACACCTTTCGGATACATTATGCTACGTTTACATGAGATCTCTGAGTTACACCCTCGGTTCCATCTCTGTGCACTAAAAGACCAGCTGGCGATTGCTGACGCCATTCACATGGTCAAAAATCTCAGCATTCAAGACCGA